TTTATTTTATTTTATTTTATTTTATTTTATTTTATTTTATTTTATTTTATTTTTAGAGACAGAGTCTATGTAATGCTGACTGGCTTGGGACTCACTTCGTAGTCCAGGCTGGCCTCACACTCACAGAGCGTGCCTCTGCATCCTCAGAGTGTGTCACCATGCCCAGCCCTGTTTTAAACCTTTAAATTTAACTTTATCCTCTGGAAGAGCAGTCAGTGCTATTAATCATTGAACTGTCTCTCCGATCCCCTTAAACAACTTATTTTGGCATTATTTATGAGGTATAGAATTACTTTAAACTATTTTCAAAAGAATAAATTATCCAAACACCATACAAACAAACCCAACTTTTAATACAAACTTTGAATGTTGCCTGCTACAGTATTCATTACACTATTTCAATATTAAGCAATTCTGTTGCCTTTTTTTTTTTTTTTTGAGTCAGGGTCTCATAGCCCAGGTTACTCTCAAATTTACAGCAGTCTTCTTATGTCAGCCTCCCTAATTCTGAGATTATAGGCCTAATCCACATGCCAGGCTCAGTCTAATGTGTAATATGAGGTCTTCTATTATACCTAAACTATTTATCAACGAGGATGGCAGTGTTTTAGAGAAATTACTATGGTAGTCATCAATCGGCTATACCACACATGTGGGGCTGTGGGACCCTAGAGTAGGATATGTAGGTTTTAACAACCGGGAGTATAGTCCTTGATTAAAACAGAAAATTAGAAGAGGTAATAGAAGTCTTTCTTTTTAAACTCCGTATTCTACATAAGCCCTTCATCATGCTGGATGCTATGAAGAATCAGAGTTCCCTAGCACAATCAAACTTAGGAAAGTATCAAGTAGCACACAAGTCTCTTGGCCTTTGATGGTTGGTTGTATTATCAAGAGTTAAGGTTCAGATTTGCAAGTGAAGATGTGTGGACAGAGGGATATACTGTAGGACACACTGTGACACACTACAGCTTCCACAATGACTTGTTTTCTGTGCTTTCTTTGTTTGTGGGTTTTTTATTTTAGGGAAGGAGGTTGCATGGGCTAAGGGCAGGTATGAGGGGACAGGTAGATGAGCAGTACTGGGGTGCATGATGTAAAACTCAGAATCAATAAAAAGCTAAGAAACAAGACTTAGGATTCAGTCAAAAGCATGAAGAAATGAAAACAGAAGGCCGATGGCAATGAGGTCTCACCAGTAAGGAGTGCCAATGAAGGATTTCCTCTTCGCAATGGTAGCTGTGATTTTTGCAGCCACACCAAAATCAGCTGGTCAGGGGAAAAAACAGAACAGAAAATTGGTAGAGTGCTTTTTGACACAACTAGCATCTGTAAGTTTTACCCTTGGCACAGCATCATTAAATTTTAGGTATTAATGTCAAGAACTGTGCATAAGTTTAATACTAAGATCTGTCCTTACTTGGTTCATAACACATTCATTAAAAGAAAAGTTCTTAAAATTTTACTAGAACGAAAAATTTATTTTATTAGGCTAATTAAACTATTTTAATTACAATCATAATGAAGCTAATTTGGGGAAAAATGGAAAAACTAAAAACATGCAGAAAACATACACTTGAATTTCTTTAATCCTAAAACAGTAAAAGGTTATTACTTTGTTGCAACTTTTTGGAATATTTTCCTATGTACATAAAATTATATATTTGTTGTTAAACTCAGTAACTGTGGAGGTTTGAATACACTTGGCCCAGGAAGTAGCACTATTAGTAGGTATGCCCTTGTTGGAGGGGATGTGTCACTGTGGGGGTGGGCTTTGAGACCTTTCTCCTAGCCTTGTGGGAGCCAGTCTCCTCCTGGTGGCCTTTGGATCAAGATGTAGAACTTTTGGCCACTTGCCATGTTCCTGCCTTGATGAACCTGTGAGCTAGCCCCAATTAAATATTGTCCTTTCTAAGAGTCGCCTTGGTCATTGTGTCTCTTCACAGCAATGAAACCCTAACTAAGACAGTAATAAAAATTAAGCACACTAGTTCATTTGCCATTTAATATGCCAGATTTACTCACATATTTTCATAAGTATTAATGATTTGCTGGAAAGAACTCTATGGTTTCTATCTTTCTATCATAAGTAATATGACTAATAGCTTTATAAATATGACTTTTTTCACCTATAAGATTTTCTTATGTTAAGTGATTTTTCTCTTTAGGAATAAAATAAGTATCACAGGTAATGATTATTATGATTTTATATATGTATATATATATTCGAACTTAAATACCATTTAATTTTTTTGGTAAAAAAAAATTAAGAACTCAAAATAACATACCTAATTTTACATCACCATGGTCTGTTAATAAGATATTTGCACCCTAAAATGAAAGCACAAATACTATTAACTAGCAACATACAATTTCTTTCAAAACTCAGCAATTTAAATATATTAAGTGAACTTACTTTGATATCTCTATGCATTTTGCCTTTAGTATGCAAATAGGCAAGACCCTAAAGTTAAAAAAAAAGAATATTAGAAAGACAGCATCAAATATCTACCTGAATTACTGAATAAGAAAAACTAGACTTCCTGTCTGTTGTGGCCTTCTGTCTTGCTTCCTGAAAACCACTGTTTTATATTTTGCCAAGTTTCTTGTACAATATGGTGATTGCTAGTCTCTGTCACTCCATTTTGACCAAATGTAGAAGTCTATTAGCTTGAGGGCACTTTAGAATTGGAACAGATTTGGGAGGTCACTGTCTATATAGCCTTGTTTCATATACAGGAAACTAGAATCATGTAACAGGATGAAGTCATAGTTACTGGGCCTGACTATAAGTCTAAGTTGCTGATCTTTCTCTTTGGTTTAGCATCCTGTTACTTAAACAATGAATGTCAGAAACTAAAATATAAAGAAAACTAATCTGTCAGTAATTCTTTTCTATGATTAGGTTTGTATTTTATTAAAAGGTTTGTATTGTGGAAAAATACATTTCTAGTCATTTCTCCCACTTAAATACATGGATTTAAACAAAGAAAGATTCAAAATATTTGAGAAAAAATTTTTTACCACTAATATACATACAGATATCTTTGTTGTCATCCCTGAACATCAGTAACACAGTGACTTAAGCAACATTTATGGCATGTAAGCTATTTATTGTAAGTAATCTACAGATGATCTCAACGATCAAAGGAACATGTGGGTATGTGTAAATACTATGCCATTTTATGTAAAAGATGAGTAGCTACAGATATGTATTCTTGGAGTCCTAGAAACAATCCCTCATGTACATGAAGATGCTCATACGGATAGAATTTACCTGTATTTGTCTCACAGAATGTCTTGGAGCACAAGGAAATGCACTGTAAAAACTGACTACAATTTTTCTTGGATCTGATCAACCTAGGTTCATTTTAAAATAACAACTACATAGACATACAGAACATCAATCTCACTTCTCAACAAATTACATAGTCTAGGAAGCACATGAAAGAAGCAACTCTCAATAGGTATCAGTTGCGACCCCTCCCCATGCCTTAAAGCAGATGAACAATATTGCTAACACTAATTCTTGCAACGAGTAGTCTTTCAGAGAACTGGAGAAAATAATGTAGAGATGCTGAATCTCTAGTGAAGATACACTGTATATTAAAGTTCTCCCAGGCTCTGGAGTAAAGAAGCACACTCGTGCTTCCATACACTGATGGAACTTAGAAGAGGACGTTCTGCAATCAATGACCTGTACTTAATGCCACGCAGAGCAAGATCTGGCAAACACCTTCCCAATTCTGTAGGAATGTTCTGTTCACACTCTTAAAGCTTGAGGGGAAAGGCCAGACACCTCCTTACAACTGACAAGTCTACAGACTTACATTAAACAATGCCGAGGTATGGCTTTTCTCAGCTTTGGTGGCAACTCATGCCACCCAAGTACCCTACCACACATGGCCATCTGCAGTTCAGCATCAAAGAAGACATGTGACCACTGTGCGCTCAATATCTGCCTGAATAAATCCTCACAGATCATTCACGAGGAAAGCTCTAGCTTTACACAATTACAGCACTGAGGCTGGACAGGGAGAGCACTGTCTTTTACTCTTCAGCTTTTGAACAAGCCACCACTTTACAGTTCCTAACTGTGAAACTGCCTTTCTAGTGACGTATGCAAATACTGTACCTGCAAGGTCTCTCTGCAGACATAGGCTATTTGCAATTCAGATAATGGTCCAGTAACTACAAAGACAGAACAACAAAAAACATATTGTCATTTGAAGCTAACATTAAAAACAGTCTAGTTATAAAATGATAAAGCAGCATATAGCTTGAACATGTATCTTCTAACTAAGAGCAGATAGCATAACTTAAGAAATGAAACAAATCCTGAGAATATTAAAGTCAATTCTGAAAATAAGATGTTATTCCCAGACAGCTCTGGACAGTGAAAATGTAAAGCATCCATTATGGGTAAAACTTAGTGCAAGTGGCACAGGCAGGTCTGTAGAGGGCCAGGACTGTCAGCTCAGTCCTCACACAGTCACAGGAACAAAGCCAGGAGTATGGCTGACTCTGTTCTTGAATTACTTACAGAGGCACAGAGCACTGGAGGAAGACCTTCTCTTGACCTCCGAGAACATTCATACACAAGCATATACAGACTTTTTAAAAAAAATTTAAATTACTGTGCTTTTTAGTATAATACTTAAAGGAATAATACTCCTTATACTCAACTAAAAACAAATAATAATCAGGCATTATTTTTATTTTAGTTTTGGCTTTTCAATACAGGGTTTCTTTGTGTAGCCTTGAGTGTCCTAGAACTAGCTCTGTAAACCAGGCTGACCTCAGACTCACAGAGAAACACCTGCCTCTGCCTTCTGAGTACTGGGATTAAAGGCGTGGCTACACGCCCTGCTAACTAACGATCAGGTTTCAATGCTGCAAACAGAAATTTCATAAAAATGTCTCAGAACGCCGGGCAGTGGTGGCGCATGCCTTTAATCCCAGCACGTGGGAGGCAGAGACAGGCGGATTTCTGAGTTCGAGGCCAGCCTGGTCTACAGAGTGAGTTCCAGGACAGCCAGGGCTACACAGAGAAACCCTGTCTTGAAAAACCAAAACCAAAGTCTCAGAACAATTCTTTAAGCATAAAAGGGAAAGAGGTAAAATTTGCCAGCTGTATTCATCATATTTTCAATAGTTCTCATTTGTAAAAGTACAGAGAGGTAAAAATTATATCTAAATAAAAACTTTTCATAAAAATCATAACTATAAAATCTTAGATTCAGTGACATATAAATGTTACTATTTAATACTTCTTTTTTTTTTTTTTAAAGATTTATTTAATTATTATATATGAATACACTGTAGCTATCTTCAGACACACCAGAAGAGGGCATCAGATCTCATTACAGATGGTTGTGAGCCACCATGTGGTTGCTGGGATTTGAACTCAGGACCTCTGGAAGTGCAGTCAGTGCTCTTAACCACTGAGCCATCTCTCCAGCCCTAATACTTCTTTAAAATAATAAATGGAGAAAAAAATATTCATTCTGGTAGTTTATATATATGTATGTGTGTGTGTATGTGATTCTAAGAGAATAAAGTAGTTTTCTTTTTTTTAAAAAAAGTAGGGTTACTGTTTACTAAAATTCTTTTATATTTTGAGACAGGGTCCTATGTAACCCAGGCTGGCCCTGAGTCATTCCCCTACATAATCAAAGATATCCTGATCTTCCCGCCTTTGTCTCCTACATGCTGGGGTTATAGGTGTGCACCACCACATAGGCTCTCGTTAAAGCTCGTAAGAGACAGTCAACACCACAGTATTTTCTGTACTTGTAAAATTTATGTGGGAAACTTAAAAAAAAAAGAGAGAGAGACTGAGTAGCCAAGACTTTTTTTTTTTATTTGTTATGGTTGTTGTGACAAAATTAGGCAACTTTAAAGTTTACAGTTGAATGATATAATACATATTTATCATAATTCAGAATTTTACTTCTGAGCTCCACGTTTCCCTCCTTAGAGGCAGTGACTTACGATTTTGCATATAATCTTCTCATTTTGCCCTGCATTTACACTCATATATACTTACAAAAATAAAAATTCAAGAGCCTAAGCATGATCAACTGTTATACATATTTTTGAGGAGAAATATTCAGGCCAGCATATACACAGCTACGTCATAAACTGTTAAGTGCAGCTAGGTTCCCTCGTCACTGGCCACCTGATAATCTAAAGACTTGGAGCTTTCTAAGCTACAGCAGTGGGACAGCACCTTTGTTTTTACATCGTTGTGGCTATTTCAGAAGCCACACTGACGTTGATGACTTTCAATGTAAAGATTTTAGCACAGAAATGTTTTCAAGTACTTTCTATAATTCTGGATGAATTATACATATCTACAACAGGTCTTATTAAATAAAGAAAAGAAAAATATTTCATAGAGATTTTTTTATTACAAATTTTAGAAATTCAATAAGCTGCCAACAACACAAAAAATGAAACTGTGGAGGCCCCAGAAAAACTATTTCTAAAACGGGTTATGAAGAAAAGCCAAGTTCAACTGAGGATACTAAATTACAAGAATACTAAATATTCTTTTCAAACTCATATTTTAATACAAATTGCTAGAGTAAAAAACTCCCTCCTGATAGCTCTATCTAGCTGACTCTTTTTATGACTGCCCTATAACAAAGCTTAGGTAGCCCCTTGGCACATGCCTTTCTGCTTTCTTAGAAATGACACCTAAGTATTTATGTAATTTTTAGGCAGAGCTTCAGTTTTTAGTGCTGACTGGCCTTAAATGCTAGATGTTTCTGATTGTGCCTCAGAAGCATTTGGGGTAAGAAGAATATACACCATGACCAGGTAAAAAGTAAAATTTATATTGTACAAGTATTTATGGATCTCTTAGTTCAGGCTCAAACAAAATTAGCTGAATAACCAAGAGCAACATTAAGAATTCCTAGTTTTTAAACCTGTCTCTTGGACAAGAAAGAATAATGTTAGAGACTAAATCTACACAACTCATTTCCCTTGTTAGCTAGAAATGTCAAACAACAATCATAAAAGGCCAAAGTAGGCTTTAAGATGTAAAGTCACATTAACAGTACCATGATAGATATCTTGAAGTGATCCGCCACCGCAGTACTCCATGCAAATCCACAGTTTCTCCCTACTAATATGACAAGGAAAAGAAAATTAAGTGAGAGTGTGATTCCAGCTACTGAAATGTGTACTCTATAGGCCCATGGTTGCCTCTCATAGCACACTGGGGCTCAGGGTGCTCTGCAGAGAGCAACAGGAAACTGGCAGAGCAATCTTTCCTCAGCACACATAAGAGCACATCAGCTCAGCATTTCTCTCAGTTTGAAGAAGGTTAGGATATGATCTGTTCTCTGTTATCACTCACAGTGCTCCATCAAGGCTGCCAGATAAGGCTGGTCATATACACAGAGGTGCTAATGTTTACGTAGGAGGGAAGACGGCAAGAAAACCCTACCAGATTTAGAATTTCAGACAACGTATTCAAAGCGTGGCATTTACACAAGAGGAAGGGAGAAGAGTGGGAAAGAGAAAGTGAAAAACAGATCAAATGATGACGCTCTTATATTTTACCTGAGATAGCTCCCAAAGTAGGCTACGATGTTGCAATGTTTACATTCTTTAACCATAAATATTTCTTGTTGAATCAAAGAAAAATCATCACCTGAAAAACAAAATAAGTTGGTCACCATGCTACTCCAAATATGTAGAAATATGAGAAGACATGTAGTGAGAATTTTGATTTCTCTAAAAACCACAGAAATATTATGGAAATAGGGTTTCACTTTAATCCCAGGTGTGGGATATGGGACTGCTTCAGACTGCCCATAGCAGCTGACTATGATTTACCCCAAGCTCTGGCAGGTGAGTGATTCTGCCAGCTGCAGATAGTTTCTGTGATTGTGTGACATTTGGAATTCTGGGGACTTGTCAGAGGGTCTATAAATAAATGCTAGGGCTCTGAGGGTGGTGGTGGTAGTAATCATTGGTTGGTTTTGGTTTGTTAAGTAGTCGTGCACAAAGAAATGAAAAGAAATTAGATATCATGACCGTGAAGATCAAACTTGCCCCAAGGAACCTGGTGCCCCTAATCAGCAGGAGGTAGTCTGTCCTTTTTACCTCCATCCTTCTCCCTCTCCAATCTAGTGTTAGGGGCTTGAAAGGGAGGAAAAGGGGTGGAGAAGGGTGGGAGAAAGAAGAACCCATAAAGTAGCCGAAGATCGGCTACAAAGACTGTATTTGTAGCTGTTGGAGTGAATACTGCAGCGTTATCTGTTGTGCCTATTTGATCTATGGTATAGTTTCAACTCTTAAGTTTTTAAAATATTTACATAACATACATTATATAGCCTCATGCATGCTAGGATAGTACTCTCACCACTGAGCTATAGCCCATCTCTTTGTGAGTAATCTACACATTAATGAAAGTGGGGTAATGAAGGCACCCACATCTTTTACTTGACCAGGGAGAGAGGAGGGGTAGTGAGACTTTGTGTGCATGTCTGTATAGTTAGTTCAGAGGTCAGTGCTGGGTGTCCTCCTCCATCACTTTCCACTTTAATTTTGAATAGTCTCTCAATGAACCTGAAGCTCGCTGACTAAGCAAGCTCAGCCTGGGAGTCCCAGGGCTACTTTTGTCTCTGCCTCTCAGCACTGGGTTACAGGCACACCACTCACAGCAGCTTTTCTATGTGGATGCTAGGGGTTCAAACTCAGGAACCTACTCTTGGACGACAACTTACCACTGAGCCATCTTCCCAGCTCCAATTTCGCCCACTACCACTCTATCTAAACCTCAATGTCCCTTTACATACAACAGTATCTGTCTGATAAAACCAGGTTCAACACTCAATACACGTTTATTTACAATCCTAACTCCTAGTTAGACTGTGCCATTTACATGTACACACACTGATAAATCTAGATTTCATGTAATAACAACATGCGGTGTTTATTTTTCTAGATCTGGCTTATTTTGCTTCAGTGTTTGCATTTTAAAAAAATGACATTTGAGAGTGTGTTTGTGTATTGTGTGTGTTACACTTACACACATGCAGAGATGAGAAAACAACTTTGTGGGTCAGTTCTCTCCTTCTACCATGTAGGTTCCAGGGACTGGGCTCTGGTCATCAGGCTGGTGGCAAGTGTGCCACCACCTCCTGGCTCTGGTTCAGTGATTACTGTCTAGGTCTCTCACCCAGTTGGTCAGTCTTATTCTAGTTTAGTCTTCCCCAATTTCTTTCTCAACAAGCTCATTGTTGGTGCATAGGAAAGGCACTGGTCTTGTATGTTGGGTTTTGCAGGATGCAGGCTACTTCAACTCCGGTAGAAACAACCGGAGTTGTTTTATGTTGTGCACTCAAGTTGAGTTTCATCATATCCAGGCCATATTAAGGATGAGACTAATTAGCCAAGAACCACAGAAATCCTTATCTCCAGTTTTAGCAGCCTTCTCATTCCCACCTGAGTATCTTGGAAGTGGTTTGACTTAATGTATGCTATGGTTCCAATCTCTCCTAAAGCCAGCTTCTTGCCCTGACTATTTCATTTATGTTAAACACACTTTAAAAGACTCTGTTAACAGTCTACTAGTCACCTCCAGCCCTTCTAAGATGATGCCCTTCTAAGATGATGCCCTTCTCTTCAGCACAAGCTACTGTGCCAAGTCATCTGGCCACTGAAGGAACCTGGGTGGACCACAGGCCAGGCAGAACTCATCTGCAGCTTGGAGCGAGACCACTTTGGTCTCTTGAAAAGTTGAACTATGAAAAATGAGTCTGTTTTCAGTTATTAGCAGTCTCAGTAAAGATGGGATCATGGCTATCATTCTCAGTTCATATATCTTGAAAACCACTCAGCTGAGTAAGTCTTGTGCTCCTTGGATAAGCCTCTGGTGTGTTCTCCCTGACTCTAAGAAGGCCAGCTGCTGGCAGCACCAAAGTGCAATCTTTAAACAATCTTTAAAAAGAACAAAACTGGAAGATTCAGTGTTTCCAATTTCATAATGTCCGTAACATTACAATAATCAAAATAGTTCACTACCATCATAAAGACAGACACACAGACAAAAGGAACAGAACCCAGAGATAAGCCCTCATGTATGTGGCCAACGATAGCTTACTTAACCACAGTGCTGGGAAAGCTGCACACACGTGTGAAAGACTGAAACAACACAGACACAAGTGCACAAACACAAACCAAAGACCTAAATGATCACAGCTCACAATTCCGAGAAGAAATCCTAGTCAAAGACTTAGGACAATGGATTTTGGAATTTGCTAGGTATGATACCAAAGCACAGAGAAGCAAAGTGAAAGAAGACAAGAATACATCAAACTTTAAGAATTCACATTCTTCAAGGGGCCCTGTCAACAGACTAAGCAGCCTGTAGAATGAATAAATGTATGTGAAAATGATGTATCCAGTAAGGGGTTAATAGCTATAATATATAAACACCTCCTAAAACTCAACAATTACAAATAAAATAACCTCATCAACTAATAGGCAACAGACAAATAATAATCATAGGAAAATTCAACAACTTTAATCAGAGAAACACAACTGAAAATTGCAGAGAAATATCACCTAAGAACACAAGGATGAGCTGCTTTTTTTTTTTTTTTTAAAGTAACAGTAGAGGACAGGACCCTTGTACATTGCTGCTGGGATCATGTATGGTAGCTCCTAAAAATTTGAAAATAAAAATAGAGCTACTACATGATCCAGTTATTTATCTAGTAGCCAAATTCTAAGTATGCATCCAAAGAGTGCATCTGAAGTCTTAAAGACATACATGCAAGCCCATGGCCACAGCAATGCTATTCATAGGAACCAAGAGGGGGAAGCAACCACTCACGGAAACAAAGTAGGAAAACACAAGGTTCTCTAGACAATGGAAACTAACAGCCTGAAAGGAAGATTCCAGGGCTAGGGAGACAGCTCAGTTTGGTAAAGTACTTTCTGAGTTCAATCCCCAGTATCTAGGTAAAATGTTGGGCCTGAGGTGCAGGCCTGTAATCCCACTATCAGGGAGGTAGACACCTTCTGGGGCTGTCCCTGGGGCTGGCTGGCTGACCAAGTTAACAACAAAGAGTTCCGGGCTCCAGTGAGACCCTGTCTCAGAAAATAAGGTAAGTAGATCCTGAAGAACAACATCTGAGGTTGACCTCTGGCTTCTTTATGTATGTGTACTCACATGTACAATGCGTACTTAATTGTGTACAGGCACGCACGCACACACATACATATATATACATTTCAGTAATTAACTGCTTTCAGAAACCCAATTAAATCCAATGATAAATATTGTATTTGCTAAGTGCTAAGTGTCATATAACTATGAAAACCAGTGACACAATGCTGGGGATCAGGTAGACTTGGTTCATTAAAGAGGTAATCAAGAAACATGATATTTTTTTCCATTGAGCAAAATGAGTGAGGAATGTTTATTGATAAAGTACCTTAAAAGTTTGTTTGTTTCTTTTTTTAAAACGAATGTACTGGGGTTTGAAACTAGGATCTCTTGGATTCTAGGTAAATGCTCTTTTATTGAGCTACAACCTCCAGTCCCACCTTAAAAACTATTTTAACATAGGGTATGGCTAAGTTGACCACACTGTGGTGGTTTGAATATGCTTGGCCCATGGGAAGTAGCACTATTAGGAGGTGTGGCCTTACTGGAAGAGGCGTAGCCTTGTTAGAGGAAGTGTGTCACTGAGGAGGCAGGGCTTTGAGGTTTTACACACACACACACACACACACACACACACACACACACACACACACACACACTCTCAATATGGCATGTGTGATCCAGACTCTCCTCCTGGCTGCCTGTGGAAGATAGTCTTCTCTTGGCTGTCTTCAGATGAAGATGTATAACTCTTGGTTCCTCTAGCACCATGTCTACTTGGATGCTGCCATGCTTCCTGCCATAATGATAATGTACTGAACCAACTGAACCTCTGAACCTGTAAGCCAGCCCCAATGAAATGTTTACCTTTTAAGAGTTGCCTTGGGGCCGGGCAGTGGTGGCGCCGCCTTTAACCCCAGCACTTGGGAAGCAGAGTTCGAGGCCAGCCTGGTCTACAGAGTTCCAGGACAGCCAGAACTACACAGAGAAACCCTGTCTTGAAAAACCACACACACACACACACACACACACACACACACACACACACACAAAAAAAAAAGAGAGAGAGATAGATAGAGAGAGAGATAGAGATGCCTTGGTTATGGTGTCTCTTCTTAGCAACAAAACCCTAACTAAGACACCCCAAGCTTGAACTCCTGTAACCTGCATACCATAAACTTGCAATCCTTCTACTATAGTTTCCTTAGCCTAGAAAATCTCTTAAATTTTAAAGTTATTAATCTATAATCTGGCATTGAACATCAGTTTGGAATCTGGCATTGAAGGTCATGATTTTCTTATAAACAAACAAAAAATAATTTTTATTTTATTTGTGTTCAAAGCCAAACTGGGAAACAGAGCGCCTTAAGAATAAAATACATGGGATTGCCTATGCTTTAAGAGGCACAAAAATTTCTATTTCTGTTTTATTCATTTTTCTATCACTAAAAACTTTTGTGTGTGGGGGGCATATGTACATGTGTACATGTGTGAGTACATGTACCCATGCAGAGGTGGAGGCTAGGGGAGGA